AGACCAACATGCAAACACACAAAGTGCACAGGACAGCAGGGAAGTACATGCACAGTGAGACTTAGACAACTCTGCATCTGTGATCAGATGGTGTGTTAACCACTTAACTTTACATGAAAATGTGAAGGAAAAGACTATTAAAATAATTATAACTGCTATAATATGTTAACAAATATACAATTTAAAATGAGGAAAATGAAGACATTTTTCCAAAAATGGAAAACGAGAAAGTACAAGTGAGAAGATCTGTAGACAAAGTTAACTCACCATCAGCTTAAAATGGAGTTTTATCTCTGAAATGTTCTGTAAAATCACGGTGACCACAGAGCAATGACCTAGAGCAGTAACCCTGCAGACAAGCAGGGGAAGCAGAGCATCCCAGCACAGAAAATCCCCCGACTTACAAAGGTCAGCAGACACAGAGGGAAAGAAACAATGGAAATGAAAAAAAACAACACCAGAAAACTATGAAGAAAATGGCATTATTGAGCGTTCTCTCATATCCATGATGCGAAATGCAAACGATTGAATTCACCAATGAACAGGCACAGAGCAGCTTTCATCTGAGCCACCAGCATGCCATGCAGATCCAGGAAGACCCAGAAACTTCCAGGCCCCATGAGCCACAGCCGGGGCCCATGAAGGGGTGTGAGGCAGCACCACAGAAAGAGGACCCAGAGCTTCTGCCCCGCTGCCTTCCCTGATGGAGTGCAGCCCTTAGGGCATGAGCAGACACAGGGAAATGCCGCCAGAAACAAGCCTGGAGCTGCTTCTGTCACTCATGTGTGCACTTGGGCTTCTACAGAGTCCTAGGGGAAGTGGAAGCTCCCAAAGCAGCCTGTCATCATGAAGGCCAAGATCTTTAGCTGAAGGGCTAAGGAGGAGATTAAGGATTGAAGGAGCCAGTGTCCTGGTAGCTTGAAGTCACACTGAAGGAAGTTTATTAAATGCTCACAAGTGCTTTTCTCTTGTGGTCCGAGCGTGGGCCTCTGGAACCTCTATACCTACCTGTACATCCATCAGATGTCTGCCTCACAGGTTGTAGTGTTAACAGTAGGAGGGCCGGGGCTCTCTGCCAGCTCCCCTGAGAAAGAGTGTGGGCAAGGGATAGCACAGACAATTGGAGGCCCATTACTAACTTGAAACTGTTCATTTACAAAGTGACAATGATGCACGTTGGTGACATATATGTACACACACACAGAGTATGGCTGGATGAATAAAACTGTTTTAAAGACTCAACTATATGCTGCCAAGAAGACACTCACAGGCTCAAAGTGAAGGGGTGAAAAAAAAGATATTTCATACAAGAAGAAAACAGCGACTGCCGGCCAAGATGGAGGCATAGGTGGACGCACCGTACTTCCATGCACAACCATAATAGGGACAACAACAATTTAGAAACAAAATAACATCCAGAAATGGCAGAAAATTGATCTGAATGGAAGTCGGACAACCAAGAACTTGAATTAGACCCATGCATCCAGACCGGTAGGAGAAGCAGAGACGAGCAGCCAGGCGTGGGTCGCAACGAGGAGAACACAGAGCAGTGGGACTATGCGTGTAAGGCATCTAGGGGTGTGTAAGGCATCCGGGGCACACAAGACCACAGCGGGTGGACCCTGAGTGCACAGGGGGCAGCTGGCAGATGCCGGCCCAGGCAACAAGCAACCGGCAGACCCAGTGAGGCGGCGACTGTAAAGCAAGGCAGTGTGGGCAACCCAGGACCACAGCGCTGGGAAATAGAGCCTCAGGACACTGATTGAGGTCACTTATGGGAGTTGAGGCACACGGAGAGACACCCAGCCTCACAGGGGAGGTCCTTGGAGGGTCCCATGGCATGCAGAAGCCCACCCACACGGCAATTGGCACCAGAGGGGCCCAGTTTGCTTAGGGGAAGCAGCAGAGGGGACTGAGGTTCCACGGAGAACGGAGCAACCACCCTTGTTCCCTCTCAACCCCACCCCCACATACAACGTCACAACCCAGTGACTGGGGTGCCCAGCCTGGGTGAACACCTAGGCTCTGCCCCTTACTGTAAGAGGTGTGACCAGACCCCCTCCTCCAAAAAATAGAGAGAGAGATGGCTCAAACAGAAGAACAAATCAAAGCCCCAGAACCCATCATTTTAGGCGACCGAAAGATAGCTAACCTATCAGATGCACAGTTCAAAACACTGGTGATCAGGATGCTCACAGAATTGGTTGATTTTGGTCGCAAATTAGATGAACAAATGCAGGCTACGATAAGAGAAATGAAGGAAAATGCAGAGGGAACCAATAGTGATGGGAAGGAAACTGGGACTCAAAACAATAGAGTGGACCAGTAGGAAGAAAGAAACAGCCAAACAGAAAAGAATGGAGAAATAAGAATTGAAAAAAATGAGGAGAAGCTTAGAAATCTCCAGGACATCTTTGAACGTTCCAACATCCGGATTATAGGGATACCAGAAGGAGAAGAGGAGAAGAAATTGAAAACTTATTTGAACAAATAATAAGGAAGAACCTGCCCATCCTGGCAAAGGAAATAGACTTCCAGGAAGTCCAGGAAACTCAGAGAGTCCCAAAGAAGTTGGACCCAAGAAGGAACACACCAAGACACATCATAATTATATTAGCCAAGGTAAAAATGAAGGAGAGAATCCTAGAAGCAGCAGGGAGATAAGGAGACAGTAATCTACAAAGGAGTTCCCATGACAATGTCAGCTGATTTCTCAAAAAAGACCTTACAGGCAAGAAGGACTGGAAAAAGAAGTATTCCAAGTCATGAAAGGCAAGGGCCTACATCCAAGATTGCTCTATCCAGCAAAGCTTTCATTTAGAATGGAAGGGCAGATAAAGTACTTCTCAGATTAGGTCAAGTTAAAGGAGTTCATCATCACCAAGCCCTTATTTTATGAAAAGTTAAAGGAACATATCTGAGAAAAGAAGATAAAAAAAACATGTATAGTAAAATGACAGCAAACTCACAATTATTAACAACCACACCTAAAACAAAACCAAAAGAAACTATGCAAACAACTAGAACAGGAACAGAACCACAGAAATGGAGATCACATGCAGGGTTAGCAACAAGGGAGTGGGAGGAGGAGGGAATAGAATAAGGTACAGAGAATAAGTAGCATAGATGGTAGGTAGAAAATAGACAGGAGGAGGGCAAGAATAGTATGGGAAATGTAGAAGCTAAAGAACTTATGACACATGGACATGAACTAAAGGGGAGGAATCTGGGTGGGAGAGGGTGTGCAGGGTGGAGGGGAGTAAAGGATTGAAACGGGACAACTGTAATAGCATAATCAATAAAATATTAAAAAAGAAGAAAACAAAACAAACAGATAGCTATACTTAAATCAGGCAAAATAAAAAGTAACAAGAGACAAAGAAGACCATGACATGATGATAAAGAGGTCATTTCCTCAAGAACATGTTACAGCTGAGGACATATGTGCACATACAGTGAAGGACCTAAATATATTGAGCAAACACTAATGGACCTGAAGGGAGAAAGAGACAATACAATAATAGTGGGCAACTTTAATACCCCACTTTCAGCAATGGACAGACCATCCAGACAGAAAATCTACAAGGAAACAACGAACGTGTGAACCATCCAGTAGATTAACTGGAACTAACACGCATTTATAGACCATTCCAGGCAACAGAGGCAAAATACACGGCCTTCTAAAGCACACACAGGTCATCGTCCAGGACAGACAATGTGATAGGACACAAAACAAGCCTTAGCAGATTTAGGAAGATCAAATCATACCTAGTGTCTTTTCCAACAACAATGACATAAAACTAGAAATCAACAGCAAAAGGAAAGCTGGAAAAACCTACAAATGTGTGGAAAGTATACAACAAACTGCTGATCAACCAAAGGGTCAAAGGAGAATTCAAAAGACAAGTAAAAAAGACATCTAAGGGGAATGAAAGAAATACAGCGCACCAACGTGAATGTCTGCACAGGGTCTCCTTCCAGGGCCACTCGCCCGAGTCGGTGGCCTTGTTTCTCTTTGGGAAGCGCCAGAGGGAAGCTTTGCGGTTGCTCCTGATCTCAAGGTCCCTCCTCATTGGAGCAGGGCCTCTCTTTCTAGACCTGAGAAGTGGTCGAGTTTAGACAGTGACGCAGGATGTACATACTATGAATGTGTGGACTAGGAGGTCTTCATCTATTTCTCTCATTTAAGTGAGGAAAGGGCTCAAGGACGAGGACAGGTGGGGTTCAAGGTCTGTCCCAGTCTCCAGGAGGCTAAGATCTCTCCAGCAGTCAGGACCCACTGGGCTCCCACTTTCCCTCATAACTATGAACATGTGATTGAAGTTTTACCACTGGCAATATCCCCATTAATCAAAACAAGCCATGTTGGGGGTGGGGTTGCACCCACAGAATCAGGGAGGGTTTAGCCACCCCTACATGTCCAGGAAAGTGAGCCCCAAACTTCAGAAGAAACTTCCCTAGCCTTCTGCTCCCCAGGGCAACTCACTTTCTCACAGATGTCTGAGCAACGGAATGTACTACCGCTTGGGGTATGAAAGTGATAGAGGGACACGTTCTACTCCTATGGCCACATGAAGAGTGAGGCCCACAACATACAAACGCCCCTCACCAAGTGCAGTAGTCGGACTGTGAACTTGGGTGTTGGACACACAGAGGAGCTACTTTAGCCTGAGGAGCTCAGGAGGACTTAATGCGAGGTGCTGTTTATGTTCAGCTTTCACAGAAGCAGCTCTCGGTGCTGGGACAGGGAGGACTTCCTCCCACCAGAGGAAGGAGCCAGGACAGAGGCTTGGAGTCACATCTGTGGGGACCTGTGGGAAGGCCAAGGGGCTCCCCACTGGGGAGTGGAGAGCAGGACATGACAAGGGGGGAGATGGGACAGAGTGGACGTGTGGCAAACCCCAAAGGCAATCGTGCATTCCAGAAACAAAAAGGACGGGGAACACAAATGCACACATAAAGCATTTGCACGCACACACACCGCCTCCAGGGTGGCTCCATCACAGAGGGGCTGCAAAGCCCTCTTCTCTGATTCGGTTCCACAAGGGCTCCTGCCTCCAGTGAGGGTCGGTCCACCACAGCGAGTCTGCACACCTCCCACTGCAGGCCTGGCTGACCTTGCTGGGGAGGGGGAGGAGGGCGGGGCTGACCAGGAGGGGGCACAGCAGGGGCAGTGGGAAACCAGGGGGGAGGGCCTGTCTTTGCACAGAGAGCGGGCTCTGGGGTGGAGTCAGGGCAGACACCACTGGTTTCACGTCTCATTGCATTTATCGAGGCATTGCCTTCTCATGTCAAATTCTGAAAATTAAGTTTTCCTAAATCTAAATTTTAAAGGCTTTCCCAAGCCCTGGCTGGCGTAGCTCAGTGGATTGAACACGGGCTGAGAACCAAAGTGTCGCAGGTTCGATTCCCAGTCAGGGTACATGCCTGAATTGCAGGCCATAACCCCCAGAAACCGCACATTGATGTTTCACTCTCTCTCTCTATGTCCCTCCTTTCCCTCTCTAAAAATAAATAAATAAATAAAATATTTTAAAAAATAAGTAAAAAATAAAAGCTTTCTCAAACTTTCTGAAATAAAGACTTACAAGACCATTGCAGGAGCAGTAAGGAAACTCTTCTTGAGTTATTGGGGAGCCAGCCGCAAATATCCCATCACCGCTCCCTAAGTGTATTTCCTAAAATCCACGGGCACTCCCCTCTGTCACCCTGACACAATCATCAAATCAGATTCTCATCAGTCCCTTAGTGCCATCGCATCCCGAGTCCCAGTCACTTTCACAGGAGTGTCCCCTGTTCACAGTGACGTCCCGCAAAAGGTCTGATGGATGTGGATGTTCCCACCTCCTCCTCCTGCAACGGTGGTGGTGTCTGCGGGTTTTACAGGCCCCTTGTCTGGGCTGTGTGCTTTGAGAGCAGGTGGAGGGATTTGTACTGTGTGGCCGCTGTTCCTGTGAGACAGCCGGGAGTCAGCATTAATGTATTTGAACCATTTAAACGGTTCATTCAGCAATGTGGTTGTTTTCATTTTTGAGTAGTTTAGATTATTTAGTCTTCCAGGTAGAGAAAATAAAAACATTTTGCCAACATGTTTAATAGAAATTCCTTTTGCTGGATATTTCACTTGTTGCTAATTTTTTCCTATAACAATCCTACAGTAAAAAAAGAAAAATAATAAATCTGCAAACTTTTGGGGTCATGTCTGTAAGACTGGAACTAACAGTTTGCCATGTAGGACCAGCACAGAATGCACGGTACTGCACACTGCTCGATTATCCTGCCCAGGGTTGACTCCAGCCCTCCTCATACCTACCGTGCCAGGGAAATCTTGTCCAGTGGCTAGCATTGGTATATGTTAGAATATTTGACAAATTCATTGGTGGGTAAGGGTATATATTATACCTTTTATTTGTATTGTCTTGATTGTTCATGAGATTTTCAATCTTTTCAAAGTGTACTTTCCATCCATGAACTCCTCATATCCATTCTCCTGCACCTTCGTGCACGGTTTGACAGGTCCTAATTTATTTACAGGAGCTCCCTATACATTCTGGATTCTGACACTTGGTCATAAGGGATTTAACAACTTCGAGAAATAATAGATGTTTCTGCAGGAGAGACTTCTCAGTGAAGGAGGTGAGAGGGGAGGGTGGGGGATGGGAACCCAAGGAAGTCACTGCGGGGTGGAGGGTGCTGGGAAACACCGGGAAGGTCCTCATTCCTTAGGATGAAGGTGAGATTTGGATCCAGAAATCACGACAAGACTAAGATGGCAAATCCTGTTCCCACAGCAACACAGCAGAACCCCAGGTGTTCATTTGCTCCCTGACACGGAGGGGAAACAACCACCGAAATTCTCTGTATTATGAAGCAACATTCCTAAGTAATTGTATTTTATAGTGTTATTTTATATAAGATAAAAATGTAAACAGCATTACATACTGAGAAATTGATAAAGTAAACATCAGAAGTATCATTTTTCCATTTAAGAGACAGTGAGGTCGGGCCAGGCCGCACAAAGCATCCCTGAGGTTCTGACATCTCACACAGTGTTTTACCAACATCATCAGCAAGAACAAGGTCCTAAAGAAAGATCTTATTTCCTGCAGCCAAAGGAGGTGAAAAATGTTCTCTTTATTGATGTTACTTATTCAAGCAGTTAGGAGACTCAGTGCAAGAATTCGAACAATTGGCACCAACAGAAAACAGAAACAAATTTGGAAAAAAGCACAGTGTTGACATATCTGTCACAGAGCAGAGGACGTGACCAAGGCAGGTGCTGGGCCATCAGGATCTTCTGCAGGTCTCCCCATTCGCTGTAAAGGATGCAGCTCCTGGGGGTCACGGGTGAGCCCCTGGGGATGCGGCTGCCCAGAAGGGACACGTGTGGAACTACACCACACTCTCAGCTGCTTTTTTCTGCCATCAGAAAACAAACACATGACAGTCAGACCCTGCTTAGGACAGGTGGGGCAAGGACATGGGCCAGGAACTGCTCTGCTCCCTCCACTGAAGCCCTGATCCTACAACACCGATGAGGAGCCCTGTGCAGAGAGGGGGCCCTGCATCCTGATCCTCTAGCACTGGGGAGGGATGCAGACAAACATCTTCCTTTCCTCTCTCCTGCTCTCCTCGCCCTGGTCCCAGCACACCACTCTGAGATCCCCTTCCCTGCCCTGCCCCGTGCACTCCTGCTGCAGTCAGCTGTCTGCATCCCCCTCCACCAGCAGCTCAGCCCCGCCCACCTCCCCAGTCACCTCTGCTCAGGGCAGGGCCCCTCAGGGGCTCAGGATCTAGGGTCTGGAAGAGACTGACTGACAGCTGATTCCACCAAGGTTCAACCAGAAGTCCCCTCTCACAGACATGTGGCCCCCTCTAACCTGCTCCTGCACAGTCCCTACTGTTCACCTGCTGCCTTACCTGCCATCCTGAAGCCCCTTTCTCTGGGAACGCAGTCCTGAACTCCACCTTTCTGAGCTGTGTCTGCAAGACCTTCCACCCTCTTCCTGGGATTAGATTGAGGCTCACTCCTATAGCCCCCTGGATAGTCACCTTGCCCTGAACACATCCCATGCAGCCACCATGCTGCCCTCACCTGAATGTGAGCACTGCCCTGCCCTGTGCGCCTGCTGTCCCCACACCACCCACCCTGGGCCCAAACACCCTCTCCCAACAGAGACTCTGAGTGAGGACTGAACACTAAACCCCTGCAGCACCAGTGGGCCTTAGGCCTTGGTGTGGGCCCCTGACTGTCTCTCTGGCACCAGCGTGAGGAGACAGCTGCTCTCAGGGTTGAGCTTGTCCAAGTGATGTCATCACGTGATATTAGGCCTTATTCTCCTGGTCTCATTCCCAGGACGGGAAGGTTCAGGGAGGGGCAGGGGGAGGAGTAGGAAGTCACCTTTCCTGTCCTCCCTGCAGGCCATCTGCCCCTCACTTCCCACTCAGTTCTGCCCTCCGTACCTTTTATAGCAAATGTACCCGAGTACGAAGACTGGTGGGATGAAGATGAGAAGAGTCAGAGGAAGAATGATCCAGAAGATGTTGTTGTTCTGGCTATTAGTGGCATTGGATGGGGCTGGGACTGTAGTTGTGGCCGTGGTTGATGTGGCTGAAACTGTGGGTGATGAGGCTGAGGCTGCGGCCATGGTTGGTGCAGCTGCAAGGGAAACAGCAGAGTGTCAGCCTTGTCCAGACCCCATTTGTGAGGAGATGCCCCCTCAGCCCTGCTGCCCCAGGTCACCCTACGATGCAGACAGGTTCCACCCCTCTACGTGTGGCAGCCACTGTGGCAGGTCCCGGGGTTGGAACAAAGAGAGGGCATGGGCCCTGACCCCTTGGGCTCCTGCAGCTAATGGGGGAAGCAGGGTCACCGCATACCCCGTCCCTCCTGCAGTGACAGAAGAGGAGGTGACACATGAGGAAGGCGGTGGACAGCCCTCACAGAAGCTGACATCTGAGGCGGATGAAGGACTTGCAGAAACAGAGCAGGGGAGACGGAGAGAGAAGTGATGCGAGAGGAGGGCACAGCGCCGGGGACAGGACGAAGAGAGAAGGAGGCCCGCCCAGCTGGGTCCGCGGGAAACCCACAGGGAGTGTCCTCGGCTCTGTGTGGTGGCGGGGGGGGGGGGTGCGAGCAGGAGAGAGGGGACGGGGGGACGTGGGACACGCCTGTGGCTGTTATCCTCCAAAGAACTAAGCACGGATGATTCTCTTTTTCACACACACTCTCACACAACCACACAAACACACTCACACACATCCACGCACAGAGCAGCATACTTGCACACTCACATAGTCACATACTCAGGCACACACACACTCCACACACTCACTCAAGTGTAGGTTGATCTTATCTCAAGACAACGACCACTTCACCCCGGTCTTCTCTGTTACCTGTGGTCCCCAGCACTTTCTTCCTGTCCAAGCCTCCGAGCCATGTTGTGCAGTCTCCCTCTGAGGTCTTCTTGAGGAACTTGTTCACTTCCTCATCCTTCTCCCACATCTTTTTCATCTCATCACCACAGGAATTATCCGCTTTATACTCTCCGCTCCCCGGGTAAAGGACCAGAAACCTCCGTCCACCCAAACGACACTCCCAGGGTCCACAGACGGTTCCACTGGCAGCACTCTGACACTGCAGCCTGACCTGCAGGATGCTGGAAGCTGCCCCACCGCCCCCACGGAAAGACGTCAGCCTCCACTCTTGACAAACCCTTCGCCCCCACCTGGTGTCCACCTCACGTGAGCCCTTCTAGTCCAGGCCCGTTCTCCCTGACCTTCCCGCTGGGCTGCATGGGAAGCACTGACACACACTCTCCCTTCCCACGTGGGGACAATAAATGTAGCTAACCGCACAGCCTGCTCCCTTCTGCACCGGGACTTTTCTAACTTACCTCCGCATGTTTTTCCGGTTTTTAAGTCAAGTCGTCTCCTTCTCATCTTGTCCCCCACATCTTTCAGTGTATCTTTCATATGTTTCGAGACATTTGTGGTCATTACCCCCTGGTTCTCAGATGTGACATTTTTATTGTAACAGTCATATTCAAGGATTACCATTCTATCCATGAACACTTTGGCCGTACACCGCTGTTGTCCATTAAAACTAATGTTGAAACCATAGTGAAGAGGAGCATCTGGGAAGAAAAAATGCGAGTGAGGATTGGAGTTGGAAGAAAAGAACCCGAAACACCCCTCCCCCGTCTCTGTGACAGCGAGGCAATCCCCCTGATGGCTGGGCTGGCAGAGCAAGGACCCATCCTGCCTGGCCTCTCCCTTCACCAGGTGAAGGTGGGGGCCCTCCCTTTGCTTGAGGAGGAGCAGGAGGCCACTCCCTGGCAGGAAACCGCGCTTCTCTGGATGTGCCCTCTCTGTGCACCAGGCTATGCCATCGTCACTCAGCCCATAACCAATCCAGGGCCATGCCAGGTGGCTGCGGAGGAAAGGTCTAGATGCCAGAGGATTGTCAGGAAGCAGCTCAGTGTCCTATGGGGGGACATGGACAGCATGTAAGGGTCTGCCTCTGGCAAAACTGGGTACCAGTGGGGTGAGGATGTGGATAGATCCCCCCACACTGGAGAAAGGACAGTTCACAATGGGGGAGTCATGATTCAGCACAGCCCTGGCCGATGGCGCCAACCTGATGCTGGGATGGGTCTTGCAAGGTTGGCAGAAGGCGTGGTTACCGTGCCTGGAGCAGAACGGCCAGAACTTCTGAGCAGGTAGCAGAGGAAGGGTCAGCTGGCTCAGAGAAGTGAATATGGCAGGGGGAGGTATAATATGAAAAGGCATAAAAGTGTCCAATCAACCATGCTCCATGGGGAAGCCTGAAGCCAACTCTTGTTTACTGAGCCTAGAGGGAGAGCATGGATGAGAAGAGCACCAGAATTCTCAGAAAGATCAATGATGACTTTTGCTGAAGGTCAGGATGGTGGTAGGAGTCCGTGTTCCCCAAAATGGCTGCCAGCAGTCATGGGCGGAGGGGTGAGTGTCAAGATAATAAATCACAGGTACAGGAGCTCTGGGTCAGGGAAATCCACACCCTCTAAAGAGGGCCTGGTAGAGAGGAGTTCTGTCCATGAAACACCAGAGTTGCCCAGCATGAGCGTCACTGGCTAAGGCAGGCCGAGTGCTCATAGGATAGAGGTGACTTTTCTGGCACAGAAAGGAGCAGGGTCACAGGGAACAATGCGATGCAGGAGCAGGTGGCCCCATCTTGACCCCAGAAAGTACCAGCACCACCCTCCACTCACACCTATGGCTTCACACACTGTCTCCCACGCCCCTTTCACCCAGGGAGCAGTCCACACAGGGAAGGGGAGCACAGGTCCCGCCTGTGGGACCCACACCCTCTCACATTCCCTCCATCAGAAGCCACAGGCAGGACAGGGCAGATTCTGAGTCTTCAACAGACAGTAGAGGCGCCCGGGGTGATGATTCCATAGGGGCGTGGTCACCCACACGTGGCACTCCCTATGGACCCTCACTCTGGGCTGAGCAGACTGGGAGGGCGGCCACATCTGGTCCCCTAATTGTTTTATGTTGTTTTGGCTGCTTGCCCCCCACAACCATGGAGGTGCCCAGTGCCTACAGAGACAGTTACCAAGAGGTATGTAAAAACAACAAAAAAAATTTACTGTTTGCCCTTTATAGAAAACATTTGCAGCCTCCTGCCCTGACCTATGACGTTTTTATGCTGCTTCCTCCTCTGGGGGGAGAAAATGTGGGTGTGGGACCAAAGGGGAGGAGGCAGGGCCCTCCCTGACCACCAGCCCCAGGATCACACTTGGGAAAAACGGGCCCCCTGCCCCTCCTGCTCCAGGATCTGTGGGCCAGGAGCAGGGGCTTCAGCTGAGTGTGTCATGGGGGATGGAGGCAAGGAGCCACTGGGTAGAGGAACAGATTAGGGCCCCTTCACAGAGGAGAAGGTACTGGAGGCACTGGTGTTTTGGGGACCCCCACCAACAGGGCAATAAACGGGGTGAGCTGGGGAGGGAGCAGTGCTCCTCAGGAACAGTGGTGGGAGTGACCCCGGGCTGCAGTCTAATCTGGCTGCCAGGAGTTCAAGGCTCAGAGCGGTGACTCATCAGGGGAAGTGGACGGTGAGGGGGGCGCCTGGCCGGTGCTGCAGGCCTGCGAAGTTCAAGGGGGCAGGGCAGTGGGGGTGCAGGAGGGTTTCCCTGCGGAAGTCGTGTGGGCACAGAATCTCGGCGGGTGCCGCTGCCTGTGAGTCTCGACACACAGGAAACGCCACAGTCAGGGGCTGAGGCTCTCAGGCCCCCCGACAACGACGGGAACCGGGCAGGAGAGCGGCCTGGGGCCGATCCGCGTTTCCTTCAGCGGCTCCTCTTGCCGCGCCCTCTTCCCCTTCTCCCTTGTCCGCTGGCGAACGCGCCTGACCTCACTGCCCCCAGCCATCGCTTTCCCACCCGTCTTCTTTCCTGAACGGCGACCCGCAACCAGCCCACGCAGGGTGCTAAGTGTAACGAGAAGTTCTCCGAAGAGAAGGCGTCTCTGAAAAGTTCTTGAACTGCCCCGGGCACGTCATCCTGGCCCGTGAACTGTGCCCTCTCACCCGCCCCCTCCCCGTCACCCATGCCACTGAGGGGACACCCCCAACTCACCGTCCTGAGTCCCAGCAGGAACCGGTGCCCCGGCACCGCCCCGCAGTACGACCAGGGCCAGCAGGAGAAGCCCCAGCGCAGACCCGACGGGCTCCATGGCGCGCGGCGGTCCCCGGTCCCAGCGCCCTGCAGCTCTGCCGACACGCGAGTGAGCGGAAAGCGTGAGACACTGTCAGCCAGCATTTCGCTCCTTCCCGCCTTTTTTTCCGGTTTTCTATCCGGACTGGGGTTCGGTCCGTACCGGAAGCCAGGTGCTGGGAGGCGATCAGGACGAGGAACCATTGGCCCCAGAAAGCGCGGGAGAGAGGTGGCGCCGGCGTGGCAGGTGGGCTGGTGCGCGGGCCGGCAGCCCCCAGGCGGAGCCGGGCCCCACCCGCGCCGCCGGCAGCCCCCACGGAGGCCGACGGTCCACGGGATCCGAGACCCAGCCGCTCAAGGCTCCAACCGCGCCCTTCCCAACACCAACCACAATGCCCACGCATTCTCTCTCCCTCTCTCACACTCACACGCACACACACACTCACACACACCCAACCCACTTCCTCCCCCATTCACCCGTTCCAGCCCCCGGGAGAGAAAAGAGCCCATCTTCCTAACACCGGACCAGCTCCGCTGACCACGCCCCAGAACCAAGCCCCGTCCCGCACACTCCCAACACACCTCTCCCGTCCCCGCACGGCCCCACCCCCACCAGTGCACCTCTGCAGAAGTGGGAAGCAGGGTTCCCCTGGCACCCCAGGTGTGGTCAGAACAGGGGGTGCTCCCGCAGGGTCTCCACCCACAGGCACCAACAAAGGACCACAGGCCCCTGCTCTGCTCTCAAGACTTTAGGCACAAACCTTGCATCATCCCCAGGGCTCCCCGCCCTTGAGCTCACCAGCGCCCCCTGCAGCAGCTCCCTGAACCAGCAGCTCCAGGCACTCCTTGCAGCACCTCCCTCCCCAGGGACTGACCCCTCCTCAACCAGCTCACCCAGCTCACCCAGCTCACCCAGCTCACCCAGTGTATCCACACAATTTTTTTAAGATCACTCTTTTTTATTGTTGTTCAAGTCCCACCACCATTTCCTCCACCCTACCCACTCCCACCTCCACCCTCAGTCCTATCTTCCTTTGGCTTTGTCCCTGGGTCCTTTATACACGTTCCTTGCCCACCCTCCCCCTGCTTTCCGTTGTCCTCCTCCCCTCTCCCCTCTGGTCACTGTCAGTGTGTTCTGTATTTCCCTGTCTCTGGTTGTATTTTCCTTGCTTGTTTGTTTTGTTGATTAGGTTCCAGTTAAAAGTGAGATCATATGGTATTTGTCCCTCACCCCCAGTTTATTTCACTTAGCATAATGTTCTCCAGCTCCATCCCTGCTGTTGGGAAGGGTAGGAAGTCCTTCTTTCTTTCTGCTGCACAGAATTCCATTGTGTAAATGTACCCAGGTTTTTTAACCACTCATTTACTGATGGGCACTTAGGTTGCTTCCAGCACTTGGCTATTGTAAATTGTGCTGCTGTGAACATTGGGGTGCATAGGGTCTTTTCAATTGGTGTTTCAGGTGAAGACACAATTCTGTGGGGTTCCAAGAACTCCAGTGCCTCCAATACCTTCCCACCTGTGAAGTGCCCTGAACCCCTTCCTGTTCCAAGTGGCACCTTCTCCCCTGGCTTGAGGACACTCCCAGCAAAAGCCTCTGCACCTGGCCCAGGAAATCTGGGCTGGAAGGCACAGGGAGTACACTTTTCCAAAGTGTGACCTGGGAAGGCTGGGAAGGAAGGGCCCTCTCTCTCTCCCCTTTGGTCCCAAACCCACACCTTCCACCTGCTGAGGAGGCAGCAGCATATAATGGACATAGATTTAGGCAGGAGGCTGCAAATTGTTTCTAAAGAAATGACAGATAGTAATGTTATTTATGATCATTGCAGGGTGCATCCTATCTGTCTCTGTGTGCACCACACACTCCACATTTATGGTGCCATAGCAGCCAAGACAACTTGCAGACAAATGGAGAACCAGATAGGGCCACTGCACTATCAACACTTTGCTGACCCAATACTAGGCGTATATAGGGTGTTATAGATATGGGTGACCTGTCCAACCTGTCCACTGATCAATGAAGACCCAGAACTATTTGCTGCCCTGTGGCTTCTGGGTGGAGTGACTGTGACAGCAACAGGCCACTGTTCCTCTGCACTCTGCAGACTGAATTCCTGGTCCCAGGGGGCCCTTGAGACCCTGCAGAAAGTCACAGGTGTAACCTGAGGGTAGCACTGGTGCTACATTTCTGATGTCAAGATCAGGGACACCTGTCTCTGCATCTCATATGTTCCCTGTGACTGTGATTATTTCAAAGCCCAAAGAATCACGTGATTCTTATCATGATTGGGCCTATCTGGCCTAAGGACACTGATGATGGACAACTCCCAGAGGCCATAGCCAGAGCCATTGTCCCTACCAGGCCCCAATGCTTTACTGGGAGTCTCTTTTAATGGTGTGCATTTCCCTACTGCAAATGACATGGCCTTACCTCTGTGCACTAGGGGACTGTGCTGTGACTCTCCAGGAGGAATGCCATGAAGTCCCCATAGCACCTTGCCCTACCACAGATACCTCTAGTGTCCTAAGACTGTTGGGTCTTAAGGCTGAAGAGGAAAAGGCAGCCACATCCATCCATTCAGGGACTGGCTATTACCGCTCTCATGCCTCAACATCAGAGCTGAGTCATTGCAACAGATGTCTGGTCTGCAAAGCCTGAGATATTTCATGGATGCCCACCTATACACAGTGTTCACACCAGGCTGTCAGTTAAATGGAGCTAGGAAGGGATACACCCCTGCTTCCTTAGAGGTTTTTAAGGTTGGTACTCTTCTCTGCCATTTCATTGAGGATAAGATACTGCTTTAATGATCTATTTGGAGCAAACAGGAGAAAATCTAAGGAGGTGATCATTGAACTTTGCTACTGTGTACCCATCATATCACAAGTAATTCACTAACAAAAAGATTTTCTATTCTTGTTACAAATTCAGACAATGTGAAATGAACACTGTGGGAATTACTGAACCTAAGGACACCTGTGCGTGCAGGACCTGGGACACGTGTCTATTTATTCCCTGAAACTGAACCCCATGCATCACTGTACTAACAGGGCCAGCGAGGATACTTCTGGTCCCTGGGGATGACGGCAGCTCACACACTAGGCCCAATGTCAATGTCTGGGTATTTCTGCTCCCCGGTGCACACACTCACCAGGGCAATAGCCACATGGCCTTTGCTGTCAACTTGAGGGGTCCCTGATGATTGGGTCCAACCCACTCCTTCTAGTAACGGGTTCCAAGTCTCAGAAGTGGCTCAAATCTGGAAACTGGGCAAAGGATCCAGCTTCTTTCTTGAGAGGCTGTTTTAGCTTCTTATTAATGCTTATGACTTATTTTTGTTTTTATTATATGAATCCATTACTCTCTGGATTGGCTTTCACCCATTTGCCTCTGGGATTGCTGCATTCTATGAGCCAGGGTATATATAGTTTTTTGTGGGTGAAGCCCTTGACTGGCATTCCAGCCTTTGGATTTTTTCAATAATGAAACTGTGCCTGCCTGTGACAGTTGAGCGCCTATCTCAGGAACACCACCTCCACCCGCCAAGCCAGCCATCAGGAAGGGCCATCCCTGAGCTTCTCCAAAATGCTGGGGCCCTTCCCATTGTCAGGGAAGAATATTTCCTCTACCCTTTTAGGGTCTTCCAGCTGGTCTAAAAATTAAATTCATCTCTGACAGATTAAATGAGAAAAGTGAATTTTAATTTGGTACATAGAGGATCTCAGAGAAATATGAGACCCTCTGAAGTGATTAAGGAAGACAGTTTTTATAAACTTTGACAAAGAACAATAATTTTTAAAGAACTGACCATGTGACCTTTGAGCTTGGAAAAGTAAATTTGTCATGCAGAGATCAGGTTTGTCTACATGGCCGTCATGGCTCTAAATTCCCTGTGTCTTGTGCTAAGGATGTCACTCTACCTCCTGGTACAGGCAGGGTGTCTTGCTTTTAGGGAAACAGAGGAGGGTCAGAGTGTCCTTCTTCATCCAGCTGTTCTTAAGCAACGTTAATTCAATATGACCGATAGGCTGAAGTGACACATTCTCTGGTGGCCCACAGTGAACGTCATCATCGTCAGCGTCCTTGGAAGCTCCATGAACAAACGGCCCTCCTCTCCCTGGAGCACAGTGGGCAGACAGCTTATGCTCGTTCTGGCTTTGCAATACCGTACCCACTCTGGCATATGTGTTCCTGGGGCCTTGTAACCCCACCCTGTACCACCTACCTTGGATTTCCTCATCTTCTCCTCCATGCTGTACACTCAGTGCTTTTCCGAAACCCCCGGGACCCAGCCCAGCAGCAAGTCGGCCGTGTCTCCCAGGGCTGTGCCAAGTCCCTCCACCTGTGACTGTCAGCTCTCCTTCTCCAGCACTGGGGTCTCGCCTCAACAGGCCACCACTGTCATCCCGCTTCCTCAGGACCAGAGCCCTGCACACTCTGCCCTCTCCCTGCAGGGCGCTGTGCTGTCTCTGACAATCCTCTGGCATCCAGACCTTTGCCCCCAGCCAGCCTGGCACGGCCTCGTGTTGTTGGCCCCAACTGAGGCTGGGTGTGGGCCTGGTGGGCACAGAGAGGACGCATCTGGAGATGTGTGGTTCCCAGCCAGGCAGAGGCCTCCTGGTCCTACTCACACAAGGGAGGGGCACTGTCTTTCCCCTGGTGAGGGGAGGGGCTGGGCAGGGTCAGTCCCTGCTGTGCCAGCCCAGCCAGCAGGGGGATTCTCCTGCTGTCACAGACACGGGGGAGGGGTACCATGGGTCCTTTCATTTCATACCCAGCTGGTACCAGTTTCCTTGTTCACAGACATTCCCTCTCTTTGCTGGAACTTCAATTCTACTCCTAATGGACATCCATGGTGTGAGGCTCAAGACCAAGTCATGGAAACACTATTCTTAATCATACCTGTAGGAGAGAGAAGGTTGAGCCTATCCATCCTCTGGGGAGGAAGGTGAATGCCAGAAAGGCCTGGAAGAAACAGAGGGACTGTGAAGGTTGTTGTGGAAGAGCTCATAAAGGAAACTGCTTAACACTAAACATAAGTTTCAAACCAGCGGTAAGTTTGAAAAGCCCAGGGCTCAAATCGAACAGACGTTGCAGGGATCCGGAGCTGTGTGTGTGCGTGTGTGTGTGTGTGTGTGTGTGTGTGACTGTTGGAAGTTGGTCCCACTGTAAGGCCGTGAGTGGGGACAGGGCACAGATGACAGAGCAGGACCAGGGGACTGGAAGGGAGCAGAGGTATTCTTGCCACACTGGCCAAGAG